TTGACATCGAAGTAAATGGTCAACTGGTGCTTGATGCATTCCTCTACAGCCTCCTGCAGCGTCGGGACCTTCTCACCTCGGAAACGCTCACTGCCCAATCAACACAAACATACCACCTACTGTCTTCAACTTGCACTGGCTTATTCATACTTTAAAAACAAGTCTGTCGTACTTCCCATCTAACCTGAATCTGTGTTTGGCGGCTGCATCTAGTTTGCGCAGTTCAGAGAAGAGCAGCTTGTTCAGCGGTCCCGACCCGTTGGTGGTCCGGTCCACAGTGTCGTCGTGCATCAGTATGGGAACCCCATCCGCCGTGAACTCCAGGTCCAGCTCTACACCCGTGGCTCCATTCTCACTTGCCTTTCAGTTAGAAATCAGAGTCATTGAAAGAGGAATAAGCCACTGCTTAGATCTGTAGATTGAGAAAACCACAGTTAACACAACGCTTTCACAACGTCTTAATACGAGAAATGTGATTTTGAAGTTGAGGAGCATGTGATGCTTATCACATGTGCATAGTATGCATTATGTACTCTAAACAATCACATTAAAGCAGACAGTTATATAATAGTCAAAACGCAGTAAATGAATATACAACAAATACTAACAGTTGGTTAACCAATAAAAGAAGGAGCGTATTTAAAGCTCTTCGGCAATGTTTTACACATTGTTTCCCATCTAAATCCAGTGCAGACACCCTGTTATTATTTTGTCCACCCTGTTATCCCATTGTCCAACCAGTTTTCTTCTTTTGTTTACAATAATTTCGTAAAATCAACAAAAAAACATACTAATAATTTAGTGAAATTTAACATTTTCTGAATAATCAATAATGCGGTACTTTAAAATATAAACAAAAGCACGTTTTAGGCATTTGTATGGATCAAAAAACAGAAAATGTCAAAGTATGCATTTGTATGAAAGTCAGTACAATTCATATGAATTACTTATATTATTTTCAGATAATTTATTAAATGAAATTCTTTTAAAGGGACAAAGGTACCACGAGCTGTCTAAGATAATGTATACAGTGAACATAAACTGAAGTATTTGAATGTATACTGATGTTCATTTGTACTTAACAGGGCGGACATTTTTGGTCTTCCATTTTATTTATTTTGTTTAATAAATGGTTACATTTATTTACCCGAGCTTGACCAAAAATCGTTTTCAAATGTTTTACAACATCCTGCCTGTATCAATGACCAAGTTTGATTTTCTACATTTTTTGATGGCCAAAAGGCACAGAATACAAGGAATGACCCATATAATGTATACATTTATTTATTTTTTGTATCTTCTCTGCATTTCTGTTTCCTCATATAGCTTTCTAACAATGTGACTGTCTACTGTTTGCTTGCTCTGCTAAATGTAAATCTACTGTGTATCTAAATCTTTATTTTTGCACTGCAAATACTCATCGGTTTATCACGAATCGGACATGGTCAGCGTTTCTGTGTTCTGTCAATGAATGAACCTCTTTGATCGATTTGAATCGATTCAATACAAGATCCGAATCAAAAGAATAATTCGCGGTGTGTTTTCTTACCTAACGCTACCTGTGAAATATCATTTATGAATGGTCTTTAAAAATAAGCATACGGTGGATTTAAATAAATACAGACACGCGAGAAAAAATAATTATATTCGCATTAAACCGAAATCAATCCGTATGTTGTTCCCACCGTCCGTATGGCAGCGATGGTGTTCTCGGGAGCGTCGTGTCCTCCGCCTCGGTGCGCCACTGCCGACACGCCGCTCGGCGACGCTCTAGTCCCGGGCCGCAGCACCTGTCTGGCCCGGCTGGAGGGCACCTGCGGGAACTGAAACATCACCAGAAACAGGTAGAGGGAGGCCGTGAGCACCGTGGACCAGACGGCGCTTCTGGTTCCCAGCAGAACCACGACGAAGACCACAGAGAAGAGTGTGAGCCCGTCTCCTAACTGAAGCATGATGAGGAAACGAACCTAAACCCAAACCAAGCGCTGTTTCTGCAACTAAATCAATACATATAGGACACTGCTCGATCGTTACTTTCAGATGAAATCCACATTGCGAGTGTCATCAAAATGTTGACAAAGGAGTGTTCAGTTTGAGTCTGTCAGAAACCTGTTCAAGAACTGTCATGATGTATTGATGACATCACGAAAAACGTTTGAAATTACTCCCGTGACCCAACTGACTCCTGACCTCATCACGATAAAGAGCGTTATCTGATGTCAAAGGCATCCTAAATCGATGCCTTTACACTGCGTGTCGATAACCTGGTAACCTGCTTTACGAATGAAGACCGCAAGATCTTTAAAATACCAGAGAATGCCTGAAAATACTATCTATGCGATGTCGTGGTCGAAACGTCCTATAATAGAACAGAATAACTTGACGAAGACATAAAAGTCCCTATGCGTAAATGATTTTTGGTTGATAAGGATAAGTTAAAGGCAGAAACATAAACCGTCGCAAAAATGTGAACGTATCAAAACTATTAGACAATATTTTAAGTTGCTTTATTTTGTATTTTACAATTGAAAACCGTTTAGCATTTGACTCAACGACCTTTATTTTGAAGTTTCACTGAGCTTCTATTATGTCCAGCTTCACAAAGGCATTGCTAAAGGCATGGTAAGTACTTTCAAAACAGCACAAATTGTCACTACTAATACATTTTATTGAATTATTGTGGCCTTTTTCGCTTTATTTCCTTTGTCTTTATCATATATTAGCAGCCTAATGGCATTAGGATTGTCAATGACATTGTCTTTAATTTCATCAACAGAATAAACGGGTTAAGAGTATTTTTAAGCAAGTGAGCTAAATCACCAAAGTAAATTTTAGCCGTTGTACTAATTAAAACAATTGTTGCCATGGTTACTGTTTCCTCAGATGATGTCATCACGCTTAATTTCCCGTCTTCCTCTATATGGGTGCCGGTGTCATCATGCCAAACTCATTTCACAAGCTCAGGTGCTCTACAGCAGGGACCCGACACACACCGGTCGACGGATGCGCTTCACCCTGCAGATTCAACCTGTGTCATTCTGCTCTGACCTTGCATCAAGAGAATTCAATCTAATGTATGCTTTCCCAGCTATCAAAGGCCTGCGAGCTCTTTCGAGACTCAAACTGATGCAGACGGGCATCACTGTGGTCTTGCTGCCCGCTGTGTATTACCTGTACCTGCAGGGACAGGCCTCATGGATGCTGGTGAGTTACACCACAGGCATATCAGTGTTTGCTGGCTTCATGCTGTACTCCATAAGCCATTATGTCAGAAGAGTGGTGGGCATGATGTATCTGGATTCAACGCAGACCATGCTAAAGGTGTCGCACCTGACCTTCTGGGGTCACAGGCGGGACGTGTACGTGCCCGTGTCTGATGTCATGACACTGGGAGATTCAGGGGACACCATAGGAGAGCCGATCCTTTGTTTAAAGCGCTACAGCAGTTCTGACACTATGTACTTTTCCACCAGACTGGGGCGAGTGGTGGACAGGAATGCATTCAAGAAGGTTTTCGGGAGTTTGTCATGAATTTACTTTTTTAGTTAAATGTCATAGACCACTGGATATTGTTTTCCAATTGAAAAGTTGACAAATAAAGATGTTGTGTGTTAAATTGATTTTATTTTACATAATTGATGTAAAAATGTAGTATAGTGCCGCAGTGAGGACATACACAGCCTTGCCCCCCAAAAAGTAGCTCTTTGGCTTTGGAAGAGTCTGTCATTGGATCTTTATTGCAGTGATTATGATGTTTCTAGCAGGTTATATATTTGGCAACAGTTCTGCTAACCCTAACTGATGGAGTGTGTAGCTTTTCATTTCTTAAACAGCCATGTAGGAAGAATGCATGGCTGTTTTAAAGCCCTTTGAACAGTTTGCAGTTTGCACTGAAACTCTCTTTTGGACTGTTTGGTTCCCAATGAAGTCCATTATATGGAGAAAAATCCTGGAATGTTTTCATCAAAAATCGTAATTTCTTTTTGACCGAAGAAAGAAAGACATGGACATCTTGGATGACATGGGGGTGAGTAAATTATCAGCAAAAGTTTTTTTTTTTTTTTTTAAAGTGAACTACTCCTTTAAGGTGCTGCTAAATAAATCGTTATATATAGAGTTGAATATACTTAAATATAAATAGGCCTACTTAAAATAAAGTATACTGTTGAGTGAAATACTTCTTGAAACTCATGACTAGCTACTAGATAAATTTGGAGACTGGTGAGATTGTAATAAATATATGATGCCTGTTCCTATGATTCATAGCTTAATACATAACCCATACAGATGTTTATTGTGTTCGAGAGCAAAAGACACAGAGTAAATCAACAAGACAGTTGAATGAAATTGCATTTCATTCCACTTTCTATTTGTATCTCACTTCTCGTTTGTTGATGTAGTTACTGTCATTAACATTGTAGGAAACTAACATTCATGTATGGGTTTTTCTGAGGAGGACATTGGGAAGTGTTATAATACCATCCAGCCACAAATAACAATAATACATCATCACTATCTAAGAAGACAGTAGAGGTTCTAGTATCTGTGTACAAATCTATATTGGTGAGACAATACATTAAAGTACAAGAATGTTCATGTAGGAGTTTTTTTTTTTTTTTGTACTTGACACAGTCAAGTTTTGAGACACAGTAAAGACAAACACTCCCTAATCTCCTCTTTGTGAAAACATGGACTTAGAAATCAGGCCAGACAGTGTTCTTAGGACTCATTCACTGCACAGGGATGTACCTGAATATATTTTCAATGAACGTGTATTACAGTGTGCAACAGAAAAGATAAAGTTCTGACATAAATTGTTTCATTTTAAGCAACTCCAATGTCTTTACTTCTCTCATGCCCTTTAAAGTGTGCTTACACTATTGACTGAGAGTGAAAACAGGATCAAGAACATTATTTCCCCTCTCTCAGTATGACTAAAACATTGTATTTAATACACACGTTGTATAGATTGAGGGTTAACATTTATATGATCAGCAGCATTAACATTTTCACTTTGAAGCCCAGCCGTTTCCTATTTTCATCTCTGATTGGTTGACTTGGGTAAAGGTGATCACATGAGGTACCAGGCAGCCAATCCGGCAACAGCGGCGACCCATGTGGCCAGAATCACCTGTACTGTGGATTGTCGAAGCAGCATCCTAGCAAACTGGCATGCGTAGGTCGTGTTTCCACTCACCGCTAGACAGACAAGAAGGAAAGCAGTACAGTAAAAATATCATTTTTATTTAACAATTAAAAATGTTGTCATTACCAACTTCCCCACCCATTTTGGCGGCATAGTAGGGACATTTACTGATGTCTCCACCCATATCCCCATGTGCAGGGAAGCCGACGTCCTGCACTTCCTCCTTAATGTCTTTCCCAATCTCCTGCAACTCTGAGAACACCTGACGGAAAAGCAAAGAACATGGATTGAGGTACATGTATGTATTCGCACATCACATAACCTAACAGACTTGGTCTTTGATAATCCTCTTACGTCCAAATTAAATTTAAAAGCCAGGTTGGCTTCGTCTAACAGCCTCTGTTCGGTCTCAGCATCCACTTCCAGCTCGTTCATCCGACTGCGGTACAGCCTCTTGAAGGCCGTGGCGTTGTTGATGCCCTCGAAATGGTAGAAGTTCAACCCCTCACCAGTAGGGGGCAGTTTGAGGGCCCGCTGAGCCACTTTCTTAAGAATCTGCCCTCCTGATAGGTCGCCCATGTAGCGGGTCCAAGCGTGCGCAACCAAAAGAACCGGGTCGTTGCGACCCACCTCGTGAATGCGATCTACGTAGGGCCTGGTGGCCGCCGAGCAGGAGATCTTGCTCTCCCAGTCTTCACCGTAGAAATACTCCAGGTCTTTGGCCAAGGCGTCTCGCCGATGAAGCTCAGAGGGTAAATATAGTGGGGCAAACATGGGATGCTCCTTATTCTTCTCGATCTCTTCCTCAATGGCAGAATAGACATAGTACAGGCCGGTTGTGCCAAGCTGGGGTTGATAAGATGACAAAATAGCACAAGCGTGAAGGTCAGAACATGATAAGCCGTTTTTATCAAACCCTACAAGAGTCTATAGACTCACCTTAAAAAGTTCCCGTTTGATTCGGCCCCTCAGAAAGTCCTTGACAAATGGCGAGTTCTCGGCTTTGTCGTGAGATTCCTTGGTTCCGGCCGCCAACACTTCTGACAGGTCATCAGGGCTGAAAAAAACAGATTTATAAAGATAAAAATCTGTTATGCTCTGTACCGCCACCTATTGGCTTGGATGTAAAATCATGCAATAGCCAGTTTGAGTTTTGAATGGCATTGTAGAAATAATCTAGGCCTACTTATGAATAACTTGCGATACCAATTAATCGATCCAATTAAATGAGATGAATTGTTTTGTTTTGGTAGGTCATGTGACACCAACGTTGTTGCCACCTCAAGGGGCAACAATGTGGAAGCTTGTTTCCGCCATAGACTAAAATGAATTTGAATTTTTGAACTTTTGTTAGATTTGTGAGATATAAACACGCACTTTTTACTTTTTATTTTTTCAGAATTGTTAGATATACAGCAAAGTCGCAATTGCAAGACTTTATTTCTAGCATTTATTTCTTTATTTCTATAGGAAACAAGCTTCCATCGGTTTCTTAATGTGTTATATATAAAAAAACTACAGATATTTTTTTTTTAAAGTAGGCAGTATGTACACTGTAAAAAAACTAATTACAAACAACTTGGATGTTTAAGTCACTTTAACTTAAATTACATTAAACTGACTTAAATGAGTTAAATCTTGATAACTTACTATACTTTAGTATATACAAACATGCATAGTATAACACATTCATGTTTGATATTTAAACAAACCTGTCAAGTTTGGACAAAGCCAATATGAAAGCTTTCATTAGTGTCAGCATTTTTGTCAAAAGATGGCCAACTATTTATTTTCTTTACGTGTAAAACTATTATGTAATGCACCTTCAAAACAAGTACATTCAAGCTCAATTTGATGTGCTTTTTCATTAATAGCAATGTAAGGGAACAGAGTACCTGAGAATATCATCATTGCTTTCAGTGAGGATGTTCTCTGCTGAATCTGCAGCCATCATGAACTTGCGCCAGTTATTTATGTCTGCTTGATAAACAAAGAAGATGTGCTGTGGAGTTTAAAAGCAAACATGTTTAGATACTCTTCTGTCAATAGTGATAAAGCACATAATCAACACTGTCTATAGTTTGTCTTCATTGCGCAACTGATATCCATTGTGACATTATAGTCATGCGCGTGACATTGACTTGTGTAAGACAGTCGGCAAGTAAGTTTATCCATCTAAATTACTGTTGTTATTACATTAATTTGGATGCAGTTGAAATCGGATTACGCTTTTTCTCAGCTAAGTACAATAGGAGAGCTGTTATTTTACCTGATAATGCTGTGTTTACAGTCTGCTGCAGTTCACATCATATCGAATGCGTGTTTACAAAACTAATCCCGCCTCAAACAGGAAGCAGAATGACGTCTGAATTCGCTCACTCGTTTTCATTCACTTATTACCTTAATAGTGGACAAGTGTCATCGGAAAGAGTGCATGAGTGAACGAGTGAGCAATATGACACAGCTTTGTTCATATAAGTCTCTTCGATCTATTTGTTTCACTTTGTCTTTTTTTTATTGAACGCTTTTGACAAAAGGTTTTTTTGAGTGAAAATTAACCTGTAAAATGTGAGATTTTGTTGATATCAAAAACATTTCAGTAGGCTACAATATAAGCCTGAACAGACAAAATTGTTTTTAGAAAAATTAACTGAGAAGAAATTCTATAGCTTGAATGCAACATGTCATTTTTGGATCAAACTTCGGCTAAATGATAAATTAAATAAATTATATTGTTGTCTGTATCAGAAATCTGACAATGTCAATATATAATATAATATAATACATGTATTTTGACCTATGATCATTTTGATCAATTAAATACATTATAATATTGTTGTCTATACCAGGAATCAGACAATGATAATATAATATAATATAATATAATATAATATAATATAATATATAAAAGTTGTATTTTGACCTAAGATTAAATTCCAGGCGCGATTTCACCCTTCACCAGTAGATGTCAGTAAAAACTACATAATCTCTCTAAATCACGCGGCGGACGGTAAAAAACGGGTGAAAAAACAATCGCCTGTTGATGATCCCCTCGTAGACTTTAGGGCCACACACATATTTTGGCTTTAAAACGCTATTGAAACTTGGAAGTGGGGTTATTTTTGATTCAGGGTGGTAAGTAAGCAACTGCCCAAGCATATTCTGGTCATGACGGTGAGTTTTGTCCTAGCAAGCAGCGGTGACATGTTCAGGAAAAGCACTATTGGATTTGAGGCAGGAATATTGACCGTATCAGATCTCACAAAGGCCCATGGCGTAGGTGCGGTTCCCAAACTGTTTGAAAGTATGACACCCCTTTGTAGCGTTTTTTTCCCCAATGGCACCCCTACCCGGTCAAACTAAACGTACTGGGTTGCGGTGCCAGCCAGTTATCTTTATAACTTATAAAGTCTTCTATACAGTATATACTTTTATATATACAAACACGCATATAACACAATCACGTTTGATATTTAAACAAGCCTGTCAAGTTTGGACAAAGCCAATATGAAAGCTTTCATGATGAGTGTCAGCATTTTTGTCAAAAGAAGGCCGACTATAATTTCTTTAGGTGTAAAAAAAAAATTAACAAGGAGAAATGTGATGTACCCTCAAAACAAGTACATTCAGACAAGGTCAATTTGATGTGTTTTTTATTTATTTATTTTTTTTATTAGTAGCACTGTATAAGGAAAAAAAGTACCTGAGAATCATTGCTTGAATATCATCATGTACACATATTTGCACATATGTTTAATATTAATATGAAAATAGCATGATCAAATTGACTTATTTAATCAAACAACTTGAATAGAACAGGTTGCACAGGTGATACACTCGCCTAAAGGATTATTAGAAACACCTGTTCAATTTCTCATTAACGCAATTATCAATATGCATCTTTGGGATGTGGTGGAACGGGAGCTTCGTGACCTGGATGTGCATCCCACAAATTTCCATCAACTGCAAGATGCTATCCTATCAATATGGGCCAACATTTCTAAAGAATGCTTTCAGCACCTTGTCGAAACAATGCCACGAATTAAGGCAGTTCTGAAGGCGAAGGTCAAACACACTAGTGTGTTCCTAATAATCAGGTGAGTAGGCTATCATACTTTTTTTTTTTACACTCACTAGTTAGCTGAGCAATGTGTGGGACATACCAAAATCACATGCATCCAATCAAAGAAAATGGTATACACATTCAAGAGATTTATCATTGTATGTGTGTAAATGTTTGTTGATTTAAAACCTCCAAATTTCATTTGCTTTATGTTCATGATGACTGAGGCACTTTATAGTGATTTTGACCCTTTTATAAAATTAAATATAGATAAGCACACAACAAATGAAGCCTTTTTTGATTTAACATATGCCAGGGATGAGAATGTTATCTCTATCTCTGCCCTATCCTGAAATATCACATTGAGCGTGCACTAGCTAGGCTACAGAGGTGGAGCTGAGCGAGCGATTTAAACCTTAAATAGGCTATATTTGAGATGTATCATATTTATATTCATTTGGACATATTGATGTTATATATAAATATATTCTATAAAAAGTTATTATATGGTAGGATAGTAATTTTAGGCTGTTAAAAGTTGTCCCGGCATCCACTTTGGGGATGTGATCTGATTGTTCTTGCATGAGCCCCGTATATTATTTCTATAACAATAAAAATTTCAGTCATGCTTAAAATTCGATAAGACGTTGGAAGCACATGTGTCACACATTTATCATCTTTAATCAGCACAAAGGCCTATACCACCACACAATCAGGAAGTCGTGTTTTCCAAAAGCCTATAGTGATCTGAAGTAGTACTTCCCGCTATTTATGGAGAAAGTCAGAGTGTTCTTATGAATATGGGACCAGCCTGCCATTAGTTTGACAGGGCATATGACCCGCACATACTGTAAGGATACAACGCACCTTAGATCGGACCACCAGACAAGCCGCTCCACGTAAACAAAGGAACAAAGACGTTTTCCCTCTGCAAACCCACGTCCGAGTATTGAAAAGCCCTTTGGCACTTTCATAGCTCTTTTATGTCTTCAAGTGCTTCTCTATTTTGTGCTCCGCATGATGACCGCCCACCTCTGTGTTTATTAGGGACGAACTTCCCAAGATCAACAATATTGCTTTGGCCTTGACCTCACCGCTGTGCTATTTCATATTCACTATGCGAGTTCCTTTGTTTATGTGCATATTTGTGAGTCGAGAGTGATTATCACGTGGGCTGGAATCCTGTACACGGATCAGGAGTAGCCTTTGAGTCGGTGATAATGGCGGTGACATCACTCTGATCAATTGTTAGTCGTCGAGGCTCAAATTTGTCATGCAGATATTTTGCTCTCGCATTGTTTTGTTGCCTGAATATTTTTGGCACTGCAAGTTTTGACTCTCGTTTAATAAAAGGAGAACCTTCCTGTCTGTTAGGATTTCCCCTTGTTTTCTCCAATGAACAGTTTAAGTAAACTGATCAACAAGGGTGTGACAAATCTGTGGAGCATTTGCTCTCAGAAAAACAGGCTGAATGTATTTTAAGAGCTGATTGTTGGAAAACAAGCACGTTTGAGGTGGTTTAAGATGCTTTTGATGGGGTTACATTTACATTGCATTTATTAATTTAGCTGACGCTTTTATCCAAAGCGACTTACAATGCTATATACTGTATGTCGGAGGTTGCGTGCCTCTGGAGCAGCTAGGGGTTAAGTGTCTTGCTCAGGGACACATTGGTGACTCACAGTGGATTCGAACCCGGGGCATGTGTCTTATCCACTGCACCATCACCACCCTGAGGTGATTGAGGTGGTTTGAGGTGGTTTAAGCTGGTTTTGATAGGGTTGAGGTGGTTTAAGCTGGTTTGAGGTGGTTTAAGCTGGTTTTGACTGTTTGAGGTGGTTTAAGCTGGTTTTGATGGGGCTGAGGTGGTTTAAACTGGTTTTGATGGGGTTTAGGTGGTTTATGCCGGTTTGAGGTGGTTTAAGATGGTTTTGATGGGGTTGAAGTGGTTTAAGATGGTTTTGATGGGGTTCAGCTGGTTTTGATGGGGTTGAGGTGGTTTCAGCTAGTTTTGACGGTTTGAGGTGTTTTAAGCTGGTTTTGATTGTCTGCTGCTGGTCAAGCTGGTGTTCAGTTTATTTAGCTTTACACTTTACAACCTGCTAACTAGACCTGCTAACTAGCTTAAGATGGTTCAAGCTGCTTTTTCAACAAGGGGTGAATGTGAGAATTTTAGTAAGCTCTATACATCATAACTGTAATTAATTAGAGTGTGCTAGTTTATCTTGCAGTTTTAGTTTTAATGAGTTTTAAATGTGTCCACTGAATAAGGAAATGATGTCATGGCCATCCATCCACCCATCTATCTTATCATTCTTATCATCTATTGTTCTATCCATCTATTGTTCCATCCATCCATCTTACCTGTCTATCATTCCATCCATCCATCCATCCATCTTTTGATTCTATCATCTATCGTTCCATCCATCCATCTTATCATTCTATCATATATTGTTCTATTCATCCATCCATCCATCCATCCATCCATCCAACCTATCCATCCTGTCTATCCATCCATCCATCCATCCATCTTACCTATCCATCCATCCATCTTACCCGTCTATCCACCCATCCATCCATATTACCTGTCTATCTATTTTTCAATCCATCCATCCATCTTATCAATCTATCATTTACCGTTCTATCCATCTATTGTTCAATCCATCCATCCATCTTATCAATCTATCATCTATCATTCTATCCATCTATTGTTCAATCCATCCACCCATCTTATCAATCTATCATCTATCGTTCTATCCATCTATTGTTCAATCTATCGTTCTATCCATCTATTGTTCAATCCATCCATCCATCTTATCAATCTATCATCTATCATTCTATCCATCTATTGTTCAATCCATCCATCTTATCAATCATCTATCGTTCTATCCATGTATTGTTCCATCCATCCATCCATCTTATCAATCTATCATCTATTGTTCAATCCATCCATCCATCTTATCAATCTATCATCTATCGTTCTATCCATCTATTGTTCAATCCATCCATCTTATCAATCTATCATCTATCTTTCTATCCATCTATTGTTCAATCCATCCATCCATCTTATCAATCTATCATCTATCGTTCTATCCATCTATTGTTCAATCCATCCATCCATCTTATCAATCTATCATCTATCATTCTATCCATCTATTGTTCCATCCATCCATCTTATTAATCTATCATCTATCGTTCTATTCATCTATTGTTCAATCCATCCATCCATCTTATCAATCTATCATCTATCGTTCTATCCATCTATTGTTCAATCCATCCATCCATCTTATC